CAGGTAATTAGTAAGTAGTACTATTCTATGGTAAAAGTACTATAAAGTTATTTCACAAATCGATTTATTTAACTATTTTATTCATTAAATTAATAGAATTTACACTTAATATCCAAAAAAACTTACAATATTGAAGAAATAAACAAAATCCTCTTTAGTTTTTCAACAGAATCCCCACAATTTAATTATTTTTCTAATTATAAAAGTTTTTTTGGTTATTTAGCTAATTTACTCTTAAATTAACTCGATTGTCATTGATCTAATCCATTAAAATTTGATGGTTTCACAGTACAATCCATGATTTATCTAACACTCAACCCATTAGCATCATGGGTTATCCATTAACGATATCTGCTGCTGTGAAATTGCCGAGCAAAAGCAAGTTGTTGCCCAAAGTAGTACCTTAGAATTGGCTACTCAATAAACAAAATCAAACAATTCATAGATTAAACCAATAATAATATATGTATTTCCTACACTTGGTTTCTGATTTTTACAATCACACCATTTGTATCACAACTACCTAGAGAAGAAGAAGAAGACCTCTGATGTATCATTTGATCTTTTACCAGAGGCCAGCTGCGGCTGATCCATTAACATCGTCAAGCCGTTTCATCATCCAATCTATGATATCACGACCAACTTCCTCACGCTCGGGTTCAAAGAGAAGGTCGTGTAAGAAACCTTCATAGAGTTTGATATCTTTGAACACTGATGGTGCCTGGTTATACAAGTCTTGTGAAGCTAGTGGATCAGTGACTTTGTCATCTGTACCATGGAGAACAAAGAAAGGCACAGTAATAGATTTGAAGTTCCGGGTCAAGTAAGCTGTTATGCGGAGGATCTCATGGCCTGTTCGGACTCTTATTGGACCGGTGTAGACCAACGGGTCAGAGTACTTGGCTAAGAGAGCTTCAGGATCTCTTGTGACAGGAATGCCTCTCTTGTTCGCTCCTTTGAATTGAAACCTTGGAGCAACCAGCGAGAAGATTGGAGCTATCGCCTAAAAAGACACAAATCACTTAACGATTACCTACTAAATTCCTCAAAGGAGAATGAATACAGAAAAGAAGAAGACTTACCCCGACAATGGGATGAGCGGGTTTGACACGAAGTGCAGGCGATGTTAGGACAATACCGGCTAACATATCTTCAACAGAGGGAGATGAAGCCGCCTATAAGACAAAGGTAGAG